CTGGCAATGTCAATTGCGTTCTCCTCTCTTTCCCCTCCTCCGGCTTCTCCACCCTCCCTCCCTCCCACCTTCTGCGCCCTTGTTTCTCTGTCAATAGAAAGAAAGTTTTACCAATTGATTTTCGTGTGCGTAACCTAAACAGTTCGCCGCCTCGTTGATCGATTCGCGTGTGTGAGTTTTTAATTTTTCTTTTTTTCGCTCGTTCGTTTGTTTGTTTCTTTGAGACGTGAGAGTGGTACGTTTCACAGTTAATCGTCGGAGTTGCTCACCGTGGTAATTGGCGAGTTGGTCGGGTTGAAATGTAGACACGATGCCTCGATGAGGAACGAAGTGTTCTGCATAACAGAGAACAAAAATGTGGAAGTTTTAGATAATAACTTTGCAATTCGTCGAGAATTTGGTAATACGAGAAAAAAGGAATCGTCGATGGGTATAATCGTTCTGAGTGAAATTATCGAGAGCACCGGTGATGAGTCAACCTTTCCCTAAGAAGGCAAAGAAAATTCGGTCAGGTCCGAGATATGAAATTAGAGAGCAACAAGTGACCTGAAAGTGAACGAACATAAAAATACGAGCGTCTGATCGAGAGTTTTACGCGGCTCGATCGAACTCAAAGATGGAGAGAGCGAGATCGTTGGAAAAAGGGAAACACAGGGACAGAGTAAACCAAGAGGTAAAAAGGGACGAGTGCCGCCACGGTGGAGGGTAATCCAGATAGATAAATACTTAGAAGTCACGCTGCTTTATTGACCATTTCTGACGTCATAGACAACTACAAAGAAACCGAACCCCTCTCGTGGTGCATATCTTGGGGGATGAAACGAGGAGCACTGTGTTTTCATCAGAATTAAAAGCACAAACATTCAGATCGCGAGGCTGCGTTTCTGTTAAGTTGAACGAAGCCTTTCTTTCTTCTTCTTCGAGGAAAGAATAATATGCAACGAAAAATTTCACTTCGTAGATCGATTATTTGTCTAATAAAATCTGAAACACACGTCTGATAGTCGTAGAATTTTCGATAATATTCGATGAAAACGTACGTGAAAATACGTGAAATAGGTACAGGCGAAAACTTGGTAAAGGTGAAATAAAAGTAATGCTTAGCGGGCGCCTGAAAAGGATAATTGTTGCGATAGAAACGCATAGAACGAGAGGAGGGTCTTTGATTCGAACTGTTTCTACGTTAGTTCCAATATCAGCCGTCTAAGCAAGAGCTCGCCACTGTCCAGCAACCCTTTCACCACCACAAGCAGCTCTCAACCCCTTAGCGCACACAGATACGTCACCACAGACGGGGGAGATTTTTCTTTGGAACACCAACACAGGCTGGCGGCGTCTCACCGTCACGAACCCAGACTCGATACCAGCGTGCATCAGTGGGGTTACACGTATCTCCGTTTCGCCCGGAAAGGAGTAGCTACCCTCTCTTTTCTCGGGGATCGCGCATGACCGAAATCATTTGCGCTCTTTCTCGCGTTTGCCTTCACCGAAGTTCGCTTTTCTCAGCGAACACGAGACTACTCGATTGCTATCGTTAAAAGAGTCGTTCGATAAAACTGGTATTGTTGCAAAAGAAGGGGAAACAGAGAAAAAAAAAAAAGTATATTTTGTTCAATACGTTCGTTGAATTTCTTCCTTCGTTTCTATTAATATTACGCATTAGTACCGCTGCGAATAATTATTCCCCAATGCGTCATAAGCAAACTAAAAGTAATGTACCTTTCTATAAATCATCTTTGCCTAATTTCCGCTGCATTCGTTCGAAAACTTGCACGCCGATATCAACGTGTACCATCGCCTCGAAAGCTCCCGTTACACCTCCACGTAGGCACACGCACACGTACACAGAGGTAGCGTGATAAAGTAGAAAAGCTTCCTGTTCCTGTTCAATCCGCTGCAGTACGTCCATCCGTCTCTCTCTCGTTGGCTCACCGTCGCGAGAGAGTGGTCAGCTTGCGAGAAAGCTCTCCGTTCTTCCAACAGTGTCTATTCTATCTGCCTCTTCGTCTTCGTCCCAACACCAGCCGCGCGGTACCGCTTCTCTTTCCCGCTAGTTGTCGCTCCGTTAGCTCCGTCATCGTCTTTCCCACGCCGGCCAGCCGAGTACGTCTCGGACGAGTTCGGGAACATTCGTGTCGTTCGCAGTCGTCCTCGTTGCGCGCCCATGGACGTCACGGCGCGTCGTCTTCCTCTCGCAATTTATCCCCTTCTCCACGGCGTAACCTGTTCACCCACCACCGACGATTCCGTCGAAAGTTTCCACGATCGAGATCCTCTTCGTCGCACAAACGACTCCCTCGTTGATATCGTCTTCCTCTGAATTCATTCAGGGCCGAATGCTGGCCTCACGTTGCCCCATGCAACGACATTCGTACGAGCCTGCGAAAGAAACCGAGGTACTTAGTTCAAACAAAACATACATCTTTCCTTATCTCTACCTGTCTATCACCGTCGAAGAACTACTTCGACAAAAAAAAACCTACTCGTATACTAAGAAAGAAACGGCCGAACTCTAACCTCCAATTCTCGATTGTTCGCTAAAGAAAAAAAACTCACGCGAGGAGAGAGAGAGTTCGGTTAGAAAAGAGAAAGAAAGAAAAAAGGATCGCGGCAACGACCTAACGGTAGGTGAAATGTCTGGCATAAATCTTGAATTTTGCCGAGGCAGTCAGAACGGGTGGTGTGTAGCTGGTGCCAAGGGGCGGTCGTGTTCTCGTCGCTCGGCTTGCCCCTTCTTTCTCGCGTGGCGAGCGGTCGTGCATAAGTCAGTCTCTGTCGCGCGTCCGACGTTCACTTTCTCTGTTGTTTGCTCGGTCGGGTCCAGTCGCACTCCCGCGACTCTCACAGCTCGCTAGGAGAAGCAGGCGGCGAGCTTTCGTGTCCGAACGACAGGGGAGCCACCGTACGGGGCAGCGGCCAAGAGGGGCCACCGGCTTGCGTCCGCTGCTGGCCGGCGCGCGTGTTTCTCTCCCTTCGGCTTACAGCATCTGCCGGAGCTTCTCCTCTCTCCGCCTACGCGGTGCGAGTGTGCCGTGTGCGCCAGTGCGCCCGCAAGCCCGCAAGTTCGCGCTCCGCCACGCAGCCCAAGCTCCTCTCTAGCCGCGCGCTGATCGGCCACGTTCGTCAGCCGGGCCCCACGCAAAAAGGCAGCGGGGCCGCGCGCGAGCCGACTGAACACACACACGACGGACGATATTTCTTACTGAAATTCGAGGACAAATTACGGACGAACGGACCGGGACCGGGCTAGCTTGGCGAGTAGCGCGTCTCGACAAGCACACTCAAAAGAAAAACAGTCAAAAAAAGAAAACAAAACGATCGTTCCTTACGTTCTACACCATTCTTGATCGCCGCTCGAGGGAAACAGTTCGACGACGACGACGTGGTGTGACACGCAGAAAAGTAAATAGAAAATCACACACACACGCGAGGGAAACGCTCGAGGAACACACGCGCGCTCCGAGACTCAAGTTGACCACGAGACTGACAACCTCTTCGAAGAATCGAGCAGTGACTGTGAGGCGAACGAACAGGATAACCACGGATCGCTATCCAGTGCGCTATTTTCATTTGTGAACACCGTTTACACACGTCCTCGAACTCTCGTCTTTTTGGGATCGCCGTGATCGCACAGGTGAGTCACAACCTCCTGAAACGATGATGATCGGGATTCCTTTCTCTTCCGTTCACTTCTGGTCTTTTCTTTTTTTCTTTTTTCGTCTCTTTTTTCCGCTTCTTTTTTCGTTCGCAGAAACACTCGTGAAAGGAACACCGCGTGGAGTAATATCAACGCGATAGATCGATCATGTGCTACGAACATTTTCCTCGGTTATGCTTCGTTCGTACTTTTTCACTCAGACGCACTTCACGGTAGAAAAAAAACCAAAGTGTACTCCTTCGAAGATTAGTGAGCCGTGTCGTGACGGAAGATCGTCGCTGACGCGAACTGTCGAAGCGGTATCGTAACAGCAACGAATCTTATTTGAATCTAAAGTATCGGTTGAAAAAAAAATAGTGTTTCTCGCGTTCCATTTGGTATTCGACTATTTTCTATTCGTCTAACAACGATATCTTCGAACGGCTCGATGACAACTGAAGTGCTCCTACTAAATTGACTTCGAATTTTTCGAAACTCGCGAAAGCGTTGTTCCACCACAGTGGTTTCCCTTCTTTTCCTATCTTTTTTCTACTTTCTTCCCGTGCACTTGTGCAATTTCGTTTCGAGTCACATTTACCAATTTTTTTCTTCATCCTGCGATATGTAAGCGGGAGTAGTGCATGTGTCAAGGTGTAGACGGTATTTTTTCATTCATAATTGTACCATTTCCCTGCGGTCTGACCGGCCTGTCTGTCATCTACGGATGCACTCTACTTGCCTAAGCCACTTCTCAAGCAAATACGCGTCTTCGACTGTGTAGTGACATTCGCGGTGACAGTGTGCAGTAGTGGTGGTGCCTAATCGTGTGCTTAACGAAACACAATCGCAACGCACCGTGTAAAAATTTCGATGGTAAAGAGGAACGAGGGACGAATCGTACCTGTGCTAATTATACAGAAACAGTGGAAGTGGCGTTCGATTCTAAGAACGCGTTTAAAAACACGTGTTGTTAAACCAGTGCGAAGGGAAAAGCTGCCCCTCTCGATGTATAAAGATACCCGTTAACGAAGTGACGATCGCAAATGAATTTTGTGATTATTAAATCGAAAGGTAATCCTCGAGGTGGCGATAAAATGAAAATTTAAAGTCACGTGCGCGGTTCATTTAAATGCACAAATACCGATGCTTTATTTGCGATCTATCAATCCGCGTATGATAATGAACACCACGCGATTCGAATTGTTTTTAAGAAGCTGCGAAACTTTGGTTGGAAACGGCAATTTCGTGAAATGGCAGCGTTCGTTTTTTCTCGAAATTTTCGGCGAAACTCGTACGAATAGGCGTGATCGTTTGCAACCGAGGTAAACGTGAAAATGAAACACACAAGAAAACGTACAAGAATTGTCAAATTTTTACAAGAGTGCATTTTGCTCTTGAACACGTTTAAATTAGGGTAAATTAATTAGCAACGTTGCAGCAGATGGATCGTGTAGCTAGTGAAAAGTCTACAAATTCTCCGCCTCCAAGTAGATACGGCCCGTTCTTATCAGACGTAAGACGACACGCTCGAAGTAACCTTCCGTCGGCAGCCGGTGAAAACGGAGCATACTTAAATCGAAACAAAATTAACAACCCGAAATAGTGAACAGGTATAACCGTTTACAAATAAATATTCGCATAGCGGTGAATTAAAAAACGCGAGTAACATTAGTAACAAGAGATCAGGGAATCGGAAAAATCGCGGATAACACTCGCGTGTCGAACTGTCAAATGTAGAAAAACCTCTATTATGAAAGGAACAACACGTTTAATATCGTTTAATAACAAACAAAACATTTTCACTGTTAACAATACAACAGTCTCTTCGGTTCTACGATTCGAACGAACAGCATCGCGAGATCGATAATCAGTCACAGAAAATTTCCACCAAATTCCTCGACTTGAAATACAAAGAATCGGAACCGAGACAATCTTCCGGCAGGCTTCGAATTGGTTCGCATTCGAGGAGAAAAACGAGGCGCGCAGAAAATGTGTTCTTCGGCGTAATCACGACAACTCCGTTGAAAAAAAATTAGACACTTCGACGATACTACAAAGGCCCCCTGTCCGTAGCCGCGTCCCCGTGGAACTGAGGGGCCGAAAATGAGTATATCCAGCTTCGATCGTGATTCTGGCGGAACCAGTTTCGGTCGGTCCGAGCAAAAGGGTTAGGAGAGGAAAAAAAATGCACACAGGCAGGCAGTCATGCAGGAAGGGTTACTGGTGGAACGCGGACTCGGATGCGTTTTGTTGTTGAAATACCGCGTGGCAGTTTGCAGCTCGATCGATGACCGCGTATAAACAGCTAATAATCAAACGAATCGTGTCATAAACAATCCCACGGTGGGGGCGGTGGAGTGGTGGTAAAAGTATAAATGAGTTTCGATCGCGGAGTGGGGTGCATCGGCAACGGGTGGGGGGTGATCGCTTCGAAAAGCGTAGGAAAGCTCGACCTGTAAAAAAAATCATGTCCAACTTCGATTTGCGTGTTTCCAGTTTGGGGGGGTTATATCGTGACCTCGCAGTTCCGCGAGATATTTCTCACTTCTTTTGTAATTTCGTTGAGGAGTGCTTCTTGTGCCGCTTCGTTCTAGGTGAGCATGAAGGGAATTTTTTGGAAATGAACGTTTATCGCGTCTGTCTTCGTCTTGAGGCCAATCTTATTCCTAGGCTCAGATGTACGTAACTTCTGAATCATCGGATACGTTGGGTACAGTGGGACACGTACTTGATCGAGTTCGCGATGCTACTTTGAAAGGCTGAACGGAGCTTTAGCGATGTAAGGTTTCATTGGTATTTGTTCTTGTACACATTAAATCGTAGAGGGTGTTTGATAGATATGGGAGCGTTTTGTTGCGAAAAATCAAAGAATCTTGGCTTTCTCTTCTTGTTCTAAGTCGACACATCGTCGAACTATTGCTTACACTGTTTTCTCCTTCACGTAGTTGTTGTCTACATCTGTATTTCTAGTTCTTCTTAAGGCGTTTCGTGTGTAATTAGTAGCGTAGTAACCAACAGGAATCTTTCAGAGGTTCGATCATAGTTATTCTCTCAGAAATTCTCGTCGACCGGAAATTTTTGTGGGAAATTTAGATCGTGTAAAGTTTTCTATCAGACGATTTTCAATCGTACTTTATCTGCCACAAAATCCTGTCAAAAAACGAACGAACGAAATTCTAAGTGTAGTAGATGATCTGAGTTGGAGGCGCAAAAAACGTTCAGACCTGAAAAATCTGAGCAAATTTTGCTATGTCACAGCTAAAGTTGTCTCTATCCGTAGAAATCTGCTAAAAATGTAACACAGATCACAGGCTACACTTCCCACTTCCCTCTCTTTCATCGTCAATTTACTCTTTCGCATCTGTCTGCACCACCTGGTAAAACTTCCATTAAAATCACACATCTTACCCCTTGGCTAACTGGTAAAACAGGGTTGAAACGGAACGTTTCGCGGTCCGTTTCGAAACCTGTCGAACAAGCTCCAGCTGACTTGCGCTTTGTCCAGAATCTCTAACACCTGATCATCTTCTCGAACGTATTTCGTAAAGTACCTCCAAAAAAAAAAAACCAGCAAATCCGAAGGATCTGGTCGAAAGCAGAAGTCCCGGGGCAAACAGACACGATCCGGAAGAAACGGAGGCGAAAGTGATCTTACCGGTCACGTCACAGCGGCACGAATACATATACACGTCGAAGATCGATGTGCCTAAAAAAAGTCGAAGAAAAAAAGAGAACAGCACAGTGACAACAATATATACCGACCCTGTGAAAAAGCACGAGGTCGTTCCCGTTGTTATCGTCTCCCGCTGGTGGGAGTCTGGCTGGCCGAGGTGGAGGATATGTGTGTTCCGAGGGTGAACGGTATGATAACGTCGAACAGGTCGACACGCGATGTATCGGTCGGCGAAGAGAGGAAAAAAGGGGCAGGGGGGGGGGATTGAAGGTTGCCCCCGAAAGAATCGAAAGTCCCGTCGAGTCAGAGAGAGAGAGAGAGAGAGAAAGAGAGCGAGAGCGTGATCGAAAGAAGAAGGATGAGTAGGAGAGGGTTGAGGGGGGAGGGGAGGGTTGGAACTCTGTCGTGGTTGCTTGCAAGGGCTACTACATAGAAAAGAGAGAGAGAACGAAGGAGAGGGGTAAAAAGAGATAGAGAGAGAGAGAGAGAGAAAGATGAGAAGAAGGGGTAGCTTAGTATCGAAGAGAGAAGGGGATAGTGGTAGAATAAGGTGGGGTAGAAGGAAAAGTCTGGTGGAGTGGTAGGGGTATGCGAAGCGAGGGTGAGTGGGTTAACTGCAAAACCCGATCGTCCGTGTTTTTATCTTAAGACGATTCTCCGACTAGAAGCCGCGTAGGAGACGAAGAGAAGAAGGGGATCCTCGGTGGTTCTGGAAGGGGCTCTTCTCGACCTCGGAGTCCGGCTGGAGGGGTAGAAACGACAGCGACGGCGGCGGCGGTGGCGGTGGCGGCGTGCGTCGCGGGGTATACGGGTTTCTGGTGGTGGCAGCGCTGGACCGTCTGGTGGTGGGTGGGGGGTGGCAGTCTCGATCGTACGGAAGAAACGGTGGGGATAAGACTACCCTCGGAGGCAGGAGTGCGTTTGCGCCGCCGCCGTGGAGGTGGCATCGGGTGCTAAGGGTTGCTTATTCGCCCCAGTCCCTGGCGGCGGAGGGGTGGTCTCTCTCTCGCCCGCTCACGACGGGGGTGGGGAACCCCTCGTCCCCGACTGCAGGGTTAGGGTGGTCTTTAGGTCTGTCAGTAGCAAAGCGGCGGCCTCATCATACGGAGCTGCCGGGCTGACCAGCCAGGCCGAAATCACTTAAGACGCGTACACCTTGTAATATAACCACCGTAGAGGCGCGCGCGCGCTCCCGCGTCGTCCGCACCTACACCCACATACACGTATATACACACACCGTACATACGACTACTTACCACAAAGCACACGTACATACATACGTGCACACGTAAACGCGCGCGCGCGACCAATTACATATGTATAT